TTGGTGAACGCAGGCCCCAGGACTGTGAAGCTCCCCTGCAGTGTAGCCTGAAAGTAGTTAACCTGTTCTTAAAAATCACAATAAAAAAACCTGCTGCTTTTCTACAGTGAGAAAAGCCTTATCATCCCCTAACTTCTTGAGCTATAGCTTTACAAATTAATGGCATCATTTGGCAGTAAGCTAATATAATGAATGTTCTCCAAGTGAAGATACAAGTTCACATAGTTTTACCAAAATCCATACTCCTGTAGTCATTTATTCCTAATTTCTGCCTCTGTGATGACCCTCTCAGTCCTTTTTGGGGGAGGACATCAAAAGGAGTTTTAAAAAGAGCTTAAAGAAAGATCCTTTGAAAGAGCTGAGCCCACCCAGGTGCAGAACACCAGCCAACAGCAGCTGCTTACCCTGGAGGTCGGCGTGTCCCATATGGCCAAACCAAAGTAGTCTTCTTCCAGGAGATTGAGGTGGTCACAGACTTTTTTAAGTAGATCCTGCCCCTTGGCATGTTTCTGCAAATAGACAAAAGGAATTCTGTAGGATGGGCTGGTTTTTTGCCTGCCTTTGTTCACAGGAGAGGAGGGAAAAAGAACATAATCAAACCACACTGTACACTATCAAGAAGGGGAAAAAAAGTCCTGAGTAGCTCAAAATCTGATCTCCTGGCTGCTTCTGAGCAAGCATCCTTTACAGGAAAGAGCATCAGGCATAAAATTCAAACTGGAGAAGTGATGGGAACTGCCATGGGTCTCTCTGCTACCACCAGCTCCGTGGCTGAAGGCCCCCCAAAGCTGAGCTTCTCAACACAACTCAATAAACACCCAAGGATTTGTATGGATTTTCCTGGTATCTCCCAGCTCCAGGCCAATCAAAAGATGATCAATGCAGGGTATGAAACTACTGCTACAAGCCACTGCTACTGTCCCCCATTTTGGGGGCAACCTGGCTCAGTAGGGTCACCAAAGAAACAGCATCTGAGAACCAAAGACCATCATTGTGACAGGACAAGGGGTAATGGTTTTAAACTAAAACGGGGTAGGTTTAGACTGGATATAAGGAAGAAATTCTTTACAATGAGGGTGGTGAAACACTGGAACGGGTTGCCCAAAGAGGTGGTGGAGGCCCCATCCCTGGAAACATTCAAGATCAGGTTGGACGGGGCTCTGAGCAACCTGATCTGGTTAAGGGTGTCCCTGCTCCCTGCAGGGGGGTTGGACTAGATGGCCTCTAGGGGTCCCTTCCAACCCAAACCATTCTATGATTCTGTGATTTTCCATGGCCTTTTCATCTGCTGACGAAACCCAGCTTCTCCAGTTTTGCCTTAAGCACCAAATGCTTCTTGCCTCCAGAAACACA